AGAAAAGGGAACCCCATGCACTCTTGGTGGGAATGTAAATTGGTACAGTCACTATGGAAACACATTAAGTATGGAGATTCCTCAAAAAATTAAAAATAGAACTACCAGATACTCCAGCAATTCCACTTCTGGGTATCTATTCAAAGAAAATCAAAACACTAACTAAAAAAGATATATGCACCCCTATTTTATTTCAGCATTATTTATAATAGCTAAGATATGGAAAAAGCTAAGTGCCATCAATGAATGAATGGATAAAGATGTGGTACTTACATACAATGTAATTGTATTGCTCAGCCATAAGAAAGAATGGAATATTGCTCAGCCATAGAAAGAATGAAATCTTGCCATTTACAACAACATGGATGGACCTTGAGGTTATTATGCTAAGTGAAATAAGTCAAATAGAAAAAGATAAATGCTACACAATTTCACTTATATGAGGAATCTAATAAACAAAACAAAACAAAATCCATACTCAGAGATACAGAGAACAGATTGGTGGTTGCCAGAGGGAAGGGGGGTTAAGGATGAGGGGCCTAAATGGGTGAAGGGGATCAAGAAATACAAACTTTAAGTTATAGAATAAACAAGTCATGGGGATGTAATGTACAGTATGGGTAATATAGTCAATAATGTTGTATTAACTTTGTATGGTGACAGGTGGTAACTCTAGATTTATTGTGATCACTTCATAATGTATACAAAAACAGAAGTGCTATATTATACACCAGAAACTACAATATTGTACATCAGTTATACCTAAAATAAAAAATTCCTAGGTCCCATGCATGACTATCTTACAAGCCTTGAACAGACCTGTTCAGTTTCACCATTTTACCAGCTCCACTTGTGCCACTATCTAAATCTAACTTTTTCTTTTATCTTATACTGTCATCTAGATCAACAGTAGGTAATAAATTAAAATATTTTTAAATCATCACATTATCATTAGAAAGGATCACAGCACTTTTCTAAAGGTAGTTCCACTCTAACTCATCTCTCAATAGTTAGTTCCTCACTTGCTGAATGAAAAAAGTACTGCCCAATAGGCTCTCAGGGTTATGATAAAGTTAAACGAAATATGATATATGACAATGTTTCATGAACTATACAGTTCTTATACTACTTGCTCATTCTGATACATCCACCCTGCTTTTCCTTAGCCAACTCTGATCCATGTTTTAAAAACCAGCTCAAATATCATGTTCTCCATAAAGACATCCTTGAATCTCATAAGGACACCATTACTCCATCCTATCTATTGCCAGATTTTTGTTCATACTTCTATATAGCACTTTATATTTTATTCCTTCATTTACTTATGTATTTCTCCTAGTGTGGACTATTTCACACTTGCCTGTCTTCTAGGGCACAGAATAGGATTTCAATTAATTTTTGATAAATTAATAATAATATAAAGGTTCTGTCCCTTTGTTCTTAACATATGTACAGTTTGTGACAATCGCAAATCAGTAAAAATAGTTTCATATATACTCACCTTTTTACATACTGCTTGATTATACAGTTGACTCTTGGACAACATGAGGATTAGGGACACTGACCCCACCACACAGTTGAAAATTTGGGTATTACCCTAAAAACTAATAGCCTACTACTGACCAGAAGCTTTATTGATAACATAAACAGTTGAATAATATATATTTTGTATGTTATGTATATTAAATACTGTATTCTTATAATAAAGTAAGCTGGAGAAAAGAAAATGTTTTTTCAAATTGTTGCAAATCCCCCCAAATTTTCTAATATGTTTATTGAAAACAATCCACATTTAAGTAGACCCACTCAGTTCAAAGACATGTTCTTCAAGGGTCAACTCTATATACACATATTTAATTATCATATATTTCTTTAACCAGACTGCTCAACACTGAGATCAACCCTTAGTACTGTACTATAAAGAAAACTACATTGGCTCCACCCAGCATTCTAAACCTGGAACTATTATATAAATAGGATCTGATAAAATTCTCTAACTCATGGGCTGCCTTCTACCTGCCCATAGGTCTGTAAGATGCCTAACAAAATGGAGACCAAACACATCCTCTCTGTGGATGAACTGTAGATGAATACTGAAGACACAGAAGGGTTATATAAGATATTAAAGAAAAATTTATCACTGAATGAATCAAAAGTCAAAATTAACTGCACATTTACTTGAGAATAGAAAAATAAATTTTTGAACCTGAATGAAATCTCATCCCTCAGTTCCCTCAGGTAAGGCAGGGGCACAGAGAACATCATCTGAGGGTGCCAAGGACCAAATTCACACTCAGGAGACAATGTAGATGTTTTATCTAGTATCTAGAGGTTCCAGCCAGATAACAAATTTAGGAAAGGGGGCAGGGAGAAAGAAAGAAAAAGAGGAATGCTCAAAATGAGGAAACACCAAAAAATTAAAAAAAAAACTGAAGTTTGTCTTCAAAGAACCCTACACTCTCCTATCTTCCACTTTACTATTAAGCAAGTACTGTATCCCTACTATGTGCCAAAGATTCTATTAAGCACGAAAGAAATACAGATAATTAAGAGATTGCTCTGGAGAAACTCATAAATTATTAAGGAGTCAAACACAATCCAGTTTAATAGGTATTTTCTTAATTATCAGGCCCAATCAATTATGTAACAACACACTCTTAATAGTAGCTGTTAAGACATCACACAACGGGGAAAACAGTGTAGCTCAGAGAAGAAAAATAGGGACTCTGTGGCATCTTACTACACTGATGGACAGTGACTGCAATGGGGTATGCAGGGGGACTTGATAGTAAGGGTGAATGTAATAAGCACATTGTTTTTCTTGTGAAACCTTCATAAGAGTGTATATCAATGATACCTTAATAAAAAAAAAAAAGAAATCACACTACAACCCTATTAAATCAACTGGAAGATGCACCCTGAAATTAAACATAAAAATGTGAAAAAAAGAACATCACTTAATTGATATAATGGGGTATAACACAACAGTTAAAGCATGCTCCTATCCCTAGGTCCACTATTTGATGTTGGACAAGTTACAACCTCTGAGTCTCAGTTCCCCTCTCCTTAAAATGAGGAAAGGAAGAGCAGTACCTCAAGGTATTGTGGTCTGAATAAAAATAAATATAAAGCACTCAGATAAAACATTTAGAACTGAGCCTGGCATACAGCAGGCTCAATTAAAATAACAGTAATACTATTACTGTTACTAATACTATCACTATCACTATTATTTTTATTATAGCAAAGGCCACAATAAAAGTAAGTATAGTGCTCTGAGAACCACCTTGGGCTGGTGCAAGGGGTAGTGTGGATGAAGGTGGGGGGGGCAGGTACAGCTCCTAGGCAGAAGGAATTAGTACCTGCATCAAAAAGGCACAGACAAAAAACAAATATGCCCTTGGAGCTTCGACTTTCATGGTATGCAATTCAAAACACTTTACTAAGAAAAAAAGGGAGATACTTTGAAAAATATAAAAGCTATGTTAACATTGAAAATAAAAATCCGAGTTGGAACTCCCAACTTATTTCAAGCTAGAGGACTTCTGGTTGCTTCCTATGTAGGAGTAGAAAAATTTTGCAATGCATTGCCCCAAAAATGTAAGTGTTGATAATAGTTTTAAAGCACTATTACTAAGCCAAGCGCAGTCTTAAACTGTAAGGGAGACACATACAGACAAAAAGGTAACCATTTACCTGGCCCATCAGGTATGAGAACTCTCCCAATCCCTCATTTAGGCTGTGTTTTTCTGAAGCCCTTATAGAAAAATCTGAATGTACTTCAAGGAAAGTCAACATCCCATTTAAGAGGTTCTATGGAAACGTCAGAAGCAATCTCCTCTCCGGTCACAGTCAGTTTGCGGCCATCAGAAAAGATCCCCAGAAAGGAATGGAGTCAAGGAAAGAATGCTGACTCACCAGAGCGGGTCTGCATGAGATACACTGATGACAAACGCCTCTCCTGTCTGTCCAGAAAGAGTCCGCCCACTTTTATCAATAATTGTCCCTGAAATCTGAATTAACAAAGTAAACTAAGTGAGTAACATGGAATCCATTTAAGAATATAAACAAAAAGACAAAATAAATGAGCAGGCTGACTTTCTACATTCTTTTATAAAAGAGAGACTTATGGAACTCAGACTCAAAGACAGTACTTTCTTTAGGAGGGTCAGAAAAGACAAAGTGCAAGGTAACTTGGGGAGGAGCTGGTAATCCATAGAAGTGAAAAAGGAAAAATCAGTGAGGCAAAAGCAATGACTGAAATTCACACATCTAGTCCCACTGGAGAAGGGTTTCCCACAGTTAACTTAGGTTATCCTGGCTGTTAAACATCAGATTCGTCTAACACCCCTTGTTTTGATTCTATTTTACTCTCACCAAGTAATCTGGGGTCTCTCATGTGCATCTGCCTTTTGAAATAATAAACCAATAGTCTGATGTCTTCAGAATTGGGTACTGTACAGTCAGCATGTGGGCCCTAATGAAAGTGAGTCTCAAAGCCTCTGGCTTCAGGGGACCAATTCAGCCACACTTCTTTGGAACAGCCTGCTTTCCACCCACCGCCTCTACTAGGTTCATCTTCTTCACATTTTCAGAGATAAGACTCCTATTGGTGTAGAGCTGGTAGTAGGAGAGAGGTGAGCAGAGGAAGTTAAAACAGGTGTTTTCTAAGAGATACTATCAATAGTTCTACTACACAAGGAAAATAGAAACCTACTCTTAAAATGACAGTATTAATAAAAGACAAAATTGATCACACAAACATTTTAGAACTTACAAAGACAGGCTGGGGAGCATACTTCTCTTCAAAAAGGTTTTGGAGTGCAAATAAGGCTGCCTGTCAAGGGAAAAAAGCAGAACATCTTTATTTCTGAGAAAATATGTCCAAGGTCAGTCTAACTGGCTAATCAGAATATTCCCTCTTCCAACAGCTCTTCACATAAGACCCACATCACATTCTCTAAGGAGAAGAAACATCTCCTGCCTATAATGTGCAGCCCCAGCACCCCTGTCTCAAGTATATTAAAACAAAACAAATGCTGGCCCAGAGTTCACCTACAAATTGGTATTTCTTTCTTCTGAGGAGGAGATGGAGAGCTACTCTTTCTTCCTTCTCTCAAACAAAATTAAAAATAGACAAATAAGAATGCCTCTACCTCCCACATCCTCATATAGGGATGGTAAGTGTACTAACTATCTGTCATTGCAAAAAAGAGTGTGAGCATAGATGCATCGTACAAGGTACAAATCCCATGTTACTCTGGACTTGTCCATGTTCTTTTAAACATTATTTATTAAACATTCCAGGGAACATATCTTCCCTTGCTTTGTATCATTATATTTCTTGATTCTAAGGTGTGCATATTTTTATAATTAGTTTTCCAAAATCAGAATACAACCTATAAATAATGTGTACCTTCATTGTGTTGGTGACATTTTTTTTCCCCATGGGAAGTTATTATATCAACAATATCAGTACTCTTACAATAAAGGTAGAAAAAAGAAAATGTTTTTTCAAATTGTCAGATCTCAAAAAATGTTTCCAATATATTCATTAAAAACAATCCACATATAAGTGGACCCACATAGTTCATACCCATGTTGTTCAAGGGTCAACTTTATACACTTAATGTTTTGCCCCTGGTTGTTGTACCCTATGATGAGCTAAAAGAAAACAGATATCCTGGCCTCTGCTCCTACGTCCTGGCACAGAGCTCCTGACACCCTGTCATTTCCTAAGCAATAACACTAGGAGAATTTTTTCTCTAGTGAGGTGACTCTGGGTGGCTCCTCAATAGGGACTGATCACCAGAAAGTCCAAACCATGATTAGAAGCTTTGAATTTTTAGCCCCCCACCCCACACCACTTCTCTAGAGAAGCGAAAGGGGCTAGAAATGGAGTCAGCACTGATCACACCTACATAAGGAAGCCTCCACAAAAATCCCAACAGCATAGGGATCAGAGACCTTCCAGTTTGGCAAACATATCCACCCTGGGGATACCCCGATCTACGGAAACAGAAGCTCTGGTGCTCAGGACCCTCCCAGGCTTCACCCTATGTGCCTTTCCATCTGGCTGTTCACCTGTATGCTTTATCGTGTCCTTTAAGCTGGTAAACATAGTGTTTCTTTGAATTCTGTGAACTGCTCTAGCAGATGAGTCAAACCCAAGGTAGGGGTCGTGGGAGGCCCTGATTTGTACCCACATTGAAGAGAAGTTGTGTGTAACCTGGGGATCTAAAACTTGTGACTGGTATGTGAAGTGGGGGCCATCTTGTGGGAATGAACCATTAGTTACCCTGTGGGATCTGATGTCATCTCCAGGTAAGATATGGTGTCAGATCGCAGTGAAATTGTAGGACATCCAGCTTGTGTTACAAAGAACTGCTTGTTGGTGGGGAAAACCCCCACACATTTGGTGACCATAAGTATCAGAAGTGAAATGTTCTGTTTGAGAAGCAAAGGAGACGAAACAGGTGGAAAACTGAGATTACCTAATACACACCCTATTTCTAATCTAAACAATACTGTGACACACTTCCAACATATAGCTGCATCTCATTCCTTATTATGCTTGTTATTATTCTTCTTTTGAAGATGTACACCTGAATTGTTCTTTAAATTATAATTTGCTAACTGGAAATTCACAAAACAATTTCTGGGAAGGTACATAAAATAGAACCATTACAAGCAATATGTTACAAAAGAGATACGATAGCCATCCAGCTTCTGGCTGGTGGTCACTTCCCTCATTCTTCATGTATGCAAGTATTTCAGTGAATTTCTTAAAGAGTTTCAAAAATTCTGAATCTGTGGTCTTCTCTGCATACCATTTAAACAACTAAAAGGTTTGATGAAAATAGTACTTGGGGAATAAAAAGGCCATTTTTTCCTCCTTATCTGGGAATGGGGAGTACCCTTATAAATATAATTCTCTCCCCTCAAAATAAAACACCAAAACCTATAAATTCAACTGTGTTGCCGTGCTTAACTCCTTTTGGGGTCCCAGATTTGATTCTAATGTATGGGTAGGGGGAGGCTTCCCACACACACACCAAGTGATTCTCAAACACCAGCAGGGTATCAGAGAACTCAATTCTGATGCTATCTGCCTGAAGACAACACCAGATTTCCAGGTTAAGGGCTCCATCCTACAAAACTGCCCACCACCTCCCACTCAAGATGCTGGTTGCAAGTCCCAGGCACTTACCTGTGCTTCTGACCTACTGGCTACAGATTGGCAATTCCCATGATCTCCCACTTCAGTTTGACTAATTTGTCAGAGCAGCTCACAGAACTCAGGAAAACACTTACGTTTACCAGTTTAATAAAGGATACCATAATGGACACAAGTTAACGGCAAGGTGAAGAGAGACATAGGGCAAGGTCCCAAATAAGGAGCTTCTATCCTCATGGAGCTTGGGGTCCGGCCTAGTGGCACATGGAGGTGTTCTCGTTCCCCAAGCATGGAAGCTCTCCCCAACAGAGAAGCAAGATCCAAGATCACCATTAGCTCTTCTCAGGACGGTTATGAGCAGACTTCACTGCGTAGTGACTGACTAAATTATTGGCCATTGGCTGATTCACCTTCCAGCCCCTGCTCTTGAGAGGGTTCCAAAATCTCTCATTAACATGATAAAATAGCCATTTCACCTTGAAGACTGCAGTGTTTTCAGGAACTGTGGATGAAGACCAAATATACCTGGGAAGTAATATATTTGGGTCATTTGAGTATGATGATACATTTGGTCATATGAATATATTTGGTCATTTGAATAAGAGTGGGCCCTTCCCCAGAATTGGGGAAGGGTGGAGATACTGCAAGCCGTGGAATTAGGCCTCCATGAGATAGGAGACTACTTAGAGGCCCTGAGTGACTGTGCGGACAGGATTGTGGATTTTTGTTTCTCAAGATATTGGAAAGGGTTATTTCAGCGTAGCTTGGAGGAGCTGCTCAATGACCTATAGGATGCCCTTAAAAAAGAGAGACAGTTACTGAGAAGACAGGTTGCACTTCTGGAAGACACATTAGCAGTGAGGGAGGAGGCAGCAGAATCCGCTTTGCAGGAGGTCATGTGGAAGGGGGAGGAAAGAGCAGTGCGTTCAGTCCCAGAGATGGTAGAAGAGGTGTCAGGAGAGGATGAGGGGGTGGGCCCAAGGACCAATCTGTTGCCAAGGCCACCACCCAAGGCACCAGCCCCTTCCATATTAAAGGCATGTCCATTTGTAATAAAGAAAATAAAAAATGCAACAACCGTGTGCTCTTCAGGGGGAGGAGATGCCCCCTCCCCAGGTTGTGGAGCACTCTATGCTCTGCCCCGATACCCTGAATGAGCTGGTAGATTTGAGCACCCAAATTCAGAAGCCCTTGGAACCTCTGCCTACATGGCTTTTGTGTCTCTGGGATATGGGGGTGGAAAACATTATGTTGGGTTCTGAAATGGGCAGACGAGCTTCCCTGATGACTCACCCTTCCCTCTGGCAGTAGTTGCAAAGTGCCTGTCACACCCCAGGGAATTATGCGCTTCAGGATTGGCTGACAGCAGCCCTCAGAGAAGATCTGGGGGAGGCTGAAATAAGGGCACAGAAGGAAATACGGTCTATGACTGAAAGGAGAGGGACAAAGGGCCCCATGAAGGTCTCGAAGACCCAGATGTGAGTTTTGATAAAGGCCAGGGCAGTGAAAGAAAAACTTCATGGGCAGTGCAATAGGCTCTTGTTAGAACCATGGCACCAATTACAGCCCAGAGCAGTGGTTCCAGCCGCTGAGGTCCAGGACATGAAAACTGGAGGGAAAAAAAGCCCCATATCTGGCCTGTGTGCCTGAAGGACTTCCTGGAGGACATGCAGAACCCACCTGGACTCTTGCCGGAGGATGCTGGGCATTACAATTTGATTGAAGGGAGAGTCAAGGCACCTGCTTGGGGGACTGGCTGGGGCGTCTCACAGCAGAGGCTCCATGCTGAGTAAATGATCAGTTCCCAGTCAATGTGTGTATAGTATGTCCTGGCTTTGGTGGACACAGGAGCTGGATGCTCCTTGGTTTATTGTGACTCTGAGTAGTGTCCTGGGGCCCCCACTACTATACAGGAGTAGGGCTGTCAGAGTGGAATAAGCATGAACTCCCTTGGGAATAGGGAAGTCTAATGTTGTGTATGATGTTATGCTCACCTCTGATTCTCTTACACATAACTGTGGCACTACTGCAAGAGATTTGGGGTTTTGTAGGCTACTAGAGTGTTTATCCCACACTTGGCACAAATTCTGATGCCCTTGTGCCCCTTAGCATGCAAAGGCATCAGGTGGAGCTGGGATAAATCGTGTGCAGTTACCTCCACCATTGCAAAATGGGCAAACTAAATGTCCGTGTGCCTGGGGACCCCAGCAGCAACTTACTGGTCATTTGCCTTGGCATCCCTAGGGAATGATAAAGCAGAGGACTTGGTCGAGGGCAGAAGACAATGTGGGCTGTAGTCTGCTGGTGAGGCCTGCCTCTGCCTGGCAGGAAGGCATTATGAGCCTGAGGCCCTCAGAGACATGGGCCTGGACATTTTGACACATGTCCAGAGATGACTGGCCCCTGTGGCACCTTGGGGACAAGCCCTGGAAGCTGGCCTCCTGTGTGCTTCTGAAGTAACAACAGAGCAGCCCCCAAAGGTCACGATAGGGTATGCAAATGGCTGGAAAGTAAAAGCACTTTGCAGGGAAGTTGTGTGTTACTATTGTGGCCAGTGCCTGTGTTTCCATTAGCACTACATCTACCCCGTTCCTGCCACTGTCCTATCACAGGACCCTCTCTTGCATGCATCCAACCCAATGGACAAGTGTTGCCTATGCTGGTGTTCAGCTACAGTCCTTATGGTTTGGACTCTCCCTGTGGCTGCAACTGCTGCTTGCTGAGCATGCATGGAGCTCCCTACTGGTTCAGCTACTGTCCTCCTGTGGAATGCATGAGCTATGGACTTAATCTGCATAGGATTTTGGGCCTAGCTGAATCCTCCAGTTTGAGGATTATAGTGCTTATATCGTTATTAGTCTGGTTACAGTGCTCCAGTTTTCTTGCACAGGGGCCATTGTGGAAGATGGAGAATGAGTAGATTGTGAGGCAAGATTTCTGGATGGGTGGGCTGTGGGTAAAATTGCAATATTTCCAGAATCTCTCACCTGGCATTAGTGCATCTCCATATCAATAGGTGATTACAAGAGAGTGGGGAGAGGCAAGCATGCACCAGGACAAGAGAAGTTTTTGGCCTCCCCAGCAGAAACAGGAGAAAAACAGGCGAGCAAGAACAGCGGTCAGAGAGCAAACACAGCCAGGCTTCTTGTAAGCAATAAATGGGTTTCTTCCACTTTATTTTTTCCCCTTGATTGATTCCAGCTTCACAGGTTTATTTTGCCATAGGCTGGGAATACACTTTTCCCACCAGAGTTACAAGCATTAAAGAGCTAAAATAAATTTTAAAAACACTGAAACAATATCATCATCACCACAGCATATAAAATCAAAACTCAAACTGGAGGGCAATATTTGCTACTCATCACTGCCAAAGCCTGATTTCTTCAGTAAAAGACTCAATAAAAGAGACCAAAACTCCAATAGAAAAAAAGGGCACATGACAAATCACCGAAGAGGAAATACAAATGGTTCTAAAACTAAAAAGAGATGATCAATGTCATTTATAGTCAATAAAATACAAATTAGAACTACAGTGAGGTAGCATTTTTCACCTAACAGAATAGAAAAGATCAAAAGGCTTAACAACAGATGGTGTTAGAGAGGGTGTGGGGAGACCAGCACCTCTTGCTGAATGGAGGATAACCAGTACAATTTCAAGGGATGGTAATTTGACACTACAGATCAAATTAACAATGCACACACCCTTTGTCCTATAGTTTCACTTGCAGAAATTTATCCTCTAGATTTGCTGTGCAAACAAATACATGAGGATGTCTAGTTCTCACTCCATACACTTATCTCCCTCTGCATATGCAAGGAATATATATGCATACACACATGCCTGTTCATCTGCACAGAATTCCTACTGGGACCCCATGCTGGTGACAGTTATCCTGGGAAGAGAGCAGGCTACCAGGGAATAAGAGATGAGATGACATTTACTTTTCGCTCCATACATTTATGTATATTTTGAATTTAGAACCATGCATATGAATTCATTACCCAGGCATGCATGCACATATAGTAGCTACATATGAAAATATTTGCTTACATAATTTTTTTAAAATTTGCTCAAGTTAAAAATGATAACCATTTTCCAGACATTAACCCAAACATATATGGTCAACTAATATTCGATAAAGGGGCCATGGACATACAATGGGGAAATGACAGTCTCTTCAACAGATGGTGCTGGCAAAACTGGACAGCTACATGTAAGAGAATGAAACTGGATCACTGTCTAACCCCATACACAAAAGTAAACTCCAAATGGATCAAATACCTGAATGTAAGTCATGAAAACATAAAACTCTTAGAAAAAAACATAGGCAAAAATCTCTTGGACATAAACATGAACGACTTCTTCGTGAACATATCTCTCCGGGCAAGGGAAACAAAAGCAAAAATGAACTGGGACTATATCAAGCTGAAAAACTTCTGTACAGCAAAGGACACCATTAATAGAACAAAAGATACCCTACAGTATGGGAGAATATATTCATAAATGACAGATCCAATAAAAAAGTTTTGACATTCAAAATATATAAAGAGTTCACGCACCTCAACAAAAAGCAAATAATTCAATTAAAAAATGGGCAGAGGAGCTGAACAGACACTTCTCCAAATAAGAAATTCAGATGGCCAACAGACACATGAAAAGATGTTCCACATCGTTAGTCATCAGAGAAATGCAAATCAAAACCACAATGAGATATCATCTCACAGCAGTAAAGATTGCTACTATCCAAAAGACAAACAACAAATGTTGGCGAGGTTGTGGAGAAAGGGCAACCCTCCTACACTGCTGGTGGGAATGTAAATTAGTTCAACCATTGTGGAAAGCAGTATGGAGGTTCCTCAAAAAGCTCAAAATAGAAATACCATTTGACCCAGGAATTCCACTTCAAGGAATTTACCCTAAGAATGCAGCAGCCCAGTTTGAAAAAGACAGATGCACCCCTATGTTTATCGCAGCACTACTTACAATAGCCAAGAAATGGAAGCAACCTAAATGTCCATAAATAGATGAATGGATAAAGAAGATGTGGTACATATACACAATGGAATATTATTCAGTCATAAGAAGAAAACAAATCCTACCATTTGCAACAACATGGACGGAGCTAGAGGGTATTATGCTCAGTGAAATAAGCCAGGCAGAGAAAGACAAGTACCAAATGATTTCACTCATATGTGGAGTATAAGAACAAAGAAAAACTGAAGGAACAAAACAGCAGCAGAATCACAGAACCCAAGAATGGACTAACAGTTACCAAAGGGGATGGGACTGGGGAGGATGGGTGGGAAGGGAGGGATAAGGGCAGGGGAAAAAAAAGGGGGCATTACGATCAGCATGTATAATGTGGGGAGGGGGCATGGGGAGGGCTGTACAACATAGAGAAGACAAGTAGCGATTCTACAGCATCTTACTACACTGATGGACAGTGACTGTAATGGGGATTGTGGGGGTCACTTGGTGAAGGGGGGAGCCTAGTAAACATAATGTTCTGCATGTTATTGTAGATTAATGATAACAAAATTTTAAAAAAAGATAACCATTTGAAATTTTTCACATTCTACTGGCTTCAGTTTAAAATAGTCAAGAATAAAATGGAATAGAGGATTTTAGTTAACTTTGATAATGGCTATTATGTCTTCCCACCACATCAGGAGATTTATCACAGGCCCCACCCCAGCCTGGTCCCTTTTCTCTTAACTCACCTTGGCATTGGCAGTATCAAAAATAGTTTCAATGAGTAGGATATCAACCCCACCATCTAGAAGTCCTGTGGCCTGCTCTTTGTATGCATCAACGAGCTCATCAAATGCTGCAAAAAATAAATCACACACAGTACCTCTGTCATCAAAATCCTCTGCATGGCAGCACATACCGAGTTCAGGTCTGGCACCTATAAACTATTGCTGGTTTATAAGGCACAGTTTCAGAACACCACCTTTTATAAGAAACCAAATAAAGAAATATGGCATGTAGGGGATGAGTGAATTTATAGTATTTTTTTTACTTCTGTCACATAGATCAAGATTCAGATTTCAGGCACAGAGAATCTGCTTGATTTAGTTTTTTCAGGTGCTGACCTTTTGGCAATGGTAAATCAGACACCATGAATAACACATTTAAATTTAAATTTCAGATAAAAGAATAAAGTATGTCCTTTGCGATACATATGATATATGATATCTTATACATCAAAAATTGCTGTTTATTGGGAAAAAAAAAAGAAATATGGCAGTGATGGGAAGTTGAACTAGCAAACGGAACACCGCTGCTCTTAAACACCTGCCACATGGACTCCACTGCCAGGCTGGGGGCGGGAATGCGTGAGTGGGAAGGCATGTGACTTCCTGGGCCTTATTTTCTGCATCTTTAAAACAGTCATACTTTGCAGGGGTGGTTTCAATCAATTAAGGCCTGAGTTTGAGAAGTAACTATAGAAACACAGCACACTGATTTGGAAACATCACAGGCCAAGCCACATTCTCACACAGTCTCTGTGGCAAACAGCTACAGTTCTTTCAGTTTTGCTCCTGCCCTGTGACACCTACTCTGTCTGAGGAAACCTGTGTGATGGGCAATTTCAGTCTCAAACAAAAGTGTTCAATTACTCCTAGGGAAAACTTTTGTTAGAAGCATGAGTTGCCTATTTCCATCTAAAAAGTCACCCATCTCCCCATTTTACCTCCCAACCAAAAAAAAAATGCTCAGAAAATCAATAGAGAAGCCTAACAGTACATTTATGCTTGCTGTATGAGCATACTTCATCTTACATAGCACAAATGAAAGGGAACCTCAGCTCCTCACCATGACGCCCAGACCACAGAGAGTGCGAGGGCAACGCATAGGCCCAGAACAAGCGATCCCCCTGGGGAAAAAGTGTGCTGTCACTGCATAGAAGGTTCTGTAAGCAAAAACCTAGAACCTGTACTTGCCTGAACTTGTCATCTATACAATGTTTCACCATACACTGTATCACTGTTATTCAGCTCTGACAGTTTAGTTCTTTTTGTTTCTGTAGTCTTGATGCTTAAGACCTAGATTTTTAGATTTTTCATAAAATCTCAACACAAGTATGTTTATATATACTAGTAATAATGTTTACAATGCTAGTACGCTTACATAGTTTGGACTGCTTTCTAACAAACAGGATGAGGGTATAGTGGGTTATTCTATAATACACCAAGGCCTGGTGTCCATATTTGTTCAACTTCTCAATTTAAAGCCTTATTTTGATTGGTCTTATTTCCACAGCTGATAAAGAAACTAACACAACACACATACACTTGAAAGCAAGCTGAAAATAATAGTAATAATAACAACAGCTAACTTTTTATTTAGGTGTTTACTATATTCCAAGGACTGTTCTAAGCCTTTTATGTGGATCAAGTCACAATAACCCTGAGACAGATCCTGTTTTAGCCACATTTTACAGATTCATAGGTTACTGAAACAGGTACTTGCCCAGGATCAGTGACTACATATGAAAAATACTCACTAATATTCCTGTAATCCGGTCTCTCTACAGATGGGGACACAGAGAGTGTCTTATTAGTTGGACCAAGAGCTCCTGCCACAAACCTCTTAATTCCTTTGGGAAGAGAAAACAAATGTGAAATCACTAAACCCTTTTGTTGTGAACCAGTAGGGTACAAGATTTTCCTGAAAACACAGGTCTATAATCCTTTGTCCATAACTCTGAAATCCAAAAAGCACAAAAGCCAAATTTTTTTCTTAATTCATTTAACAACAAACATGACCTCTCTTGAACCAGTAAGTGGCTACTTACAGTCTTTAACCCACTTAGTGGGTTGGTTCATAGATTCCACTGCAAATATGTCTGATTATGGGGGCTATCCCAGATCCCACTAGGAAAATTATGAATTATAGGTGATATGCACATATCATCACCACAACAATCAAAAAATTGAATTCTCACTTATCTGGCTTCAAAGCATTTCAGCATTTCTATAACTATAATTTATGTTTGGACAAATTATCTCTCTCCCTATTCTTTTTTTTTGAGAGGGCATCTCTCATATTTATTGATCAAATGGTTGTTAACAAACAATAAAATTCTGCATAGGGGAGTCAATGCTCAATGCACAATCATTAATCCACCCCCAGCCTAATTCTCATCAGTCTCCAATCTTCTGAAGCATAACAAACAAATTCTTACATGAACAAATTCTTACACAGTGAATAAGTTCTTACATGGTGAACAGTACAAGGGCAGTCATCATAGAAACTTTCAGTTTTGATCACACATTATGAACTATAAACAATCAAGTCAAATATGAATATTCATTTAATTTTTATACTTGATTTATATGTGAATCCCACATTTCTCTCTTTATTATTATTATTTTTTTTAATAAAATGCTGAAGTGGTAGGTAGATGCAAGATAAAGGTAGAAAACATAGTTTAGTGTTGTAAGAGAGCAAATGTAGATGATCAGGTGTGTGCCTGTAGACTATGTGTTAATCCAAGCTAGACAAGGGCAATAAAACATCCACGGATGCAGAAGATTTCTCTCAAAACAGCGGGGGTGAGGTTCTAAGCCTCACCTCTGTTGATCCCCAATTTCTCACCTGATGACCCCCCTGCGACTGTGCCTGTCTTAGGTTGTTCCTCCCTTGAGGAATCTTACCCATCTCTGGCTAACCAGTCATCTTCCGGGGCCATACAGGGAAATGTAAAGTTGATAAGTGTTCTCTCTCCCTATTCTTAAGCAAGCTTGAAGACCCTGAATTTAACCTAGGTTTTATATAAGCTCCTCACAGTAGCATTCAACTTGAAATGCTCTCCCATATTGTATTGTAGGCCCTTTACTGGGGGAAAACAGTAAGTCAGGATTAATGATTACAAAGCCTAAAATTAAAGTATGAAGCAGATGAATTCTCACTTTAGTAACTTTCTATCATTCTTCAATAACCTCCCCTCTAGACGGCTTCTAGAAGAGCCTGGGAAGTTGTGTTCCTTTATGTTTTAGAACAGTAACTCGGACTACATTGCTCATGCCTTTGGTGATTTTAGCAGCTCAATAACCTGGGTTATGCTTTAATTTAACTGGAGAAGACTACCAACTAGTTGATAACCCAGCCTTTGAACAGGTTACAGGCCCAAATACTCTTTATTATCCACAAAGCTGAACAATAATGTGGGTATAAGATAAATGTCCTTATCTTTCCCAGCTTTAGCCGGTTCAACACCCTCTGACCTGCAACTCTGCTTGGGGTAAGAGTGCATGCATTTCCAAGGAGTTAAACATTACCTCTCAGAAGCACAGTTCCTATAAGTTGCTTGTCTTTCTTAGTATGCTGTGTCTAACTTCCTAACAATTTTGCTTCACATCTTTGCTGTTGGCAATAATTTCACATTTCCAAATCTTAAGGGGCTCCATATACTTCTTGTATTCCTTTCCCTCCCTTAAAGCCTCCCAACCAGCTGCTGCTCAAGTGTTCTAATGGCATTCAGCCAGGCGATTAGTTATTTAGGGGAGGCACTTTTCAAGTTCCAAGCAAGACTGAATCTAATGCCACACTCTGCTGTGGGCTACACAGAATCTTCAAGGGCATTAGTGATATGAAGTGGAAAATGCTCAAAAGGCATTACCTCTTAACCTAAAAAAGCCAATCACGGGGATGAGGGTTGCTTTAAAGGGATAAGATCAAATATCATAATAACACCCAAAATAACCTGAACAGTCAACTGCTGCCCTAATAACCTGATGATGAGCTTTCAAAGGAGAAAAATCATTTTAGCCACAAATACTCAATAAAGCTATGGTCCTAGCTACAAAGTCAAGGTATAACCCCCAGGAAGACAAAATAAAGCCTGAGCCCATGGCCCACAAGGGCAGAGTCACTGCTTGACTAGGAACGGCAGAGAAGTTACCTACAATCGAGTCAAACAGTAGCTACAGTGTCGCCAGCAGGTCAAATGTCATGGGAGGAAAAAGTACCATAGAAACAGCACATTATAGGTGACAGTGTCAAAGGAATCATCTTTGCAGAGAAGGAAGAAAAACATTCCTGACCTGTTTGGAAGGTGACTTCCTCAGCAGCTCTTCTGGCTGCCGCTGCAGAGCACTTGTTCATCCGGTAGGCCTGATACATGAACCACAAACGTTAGCAGCCAGTCCTCCTCTTCCTCCTCACACTAAATAAGGCATTCATTACCTGCTAAGTCCCAGTTTTATTAAGTAGGGAAGTACAGAGTGAATTAATCTGATATTTGAGTGAAATCTTAGCCGGAAAGGCCTATCAGCTGCCCCAGCCTTAAAGGCAGCAGGAAAGGCAAGTCTTTGGGAACAGCTTTTAGGTTCCTCCCCCAAACCATGAGCTAGCTGGTTAAAAGGGCAATCTCTAGATATCTGGTGTACCAGACAATAAGCTGCTGCAGTTAAATATTCTGAGGATTAGGAAAAAGCAGCAGCTTCAGAGACAGGAGACCAAGTTCCAGTCCCTCCCTGCTGCCTGGGAAGTTCTCTTAACAACTTCTGCCCTGACTTCTTTCACCAAACGATGGGTGGAATCAGTGGTTCTGAACTTTCAGTGGATTATTAACCTCTTGAGAATTTGGGGAAGGGCCACAAACCCTCTCAGGAGGAAATAAAATGCAAGTATGCACAAACACACAAAGTACTGCCTACAATTTAAAGATAGCCTCCTGAAGCCCTTCCACAGACAGGTGGTCCTAGACTTGTGAACTTCAAGATACCTTCTAATGGTAAGATCCTATGTGCTGTGGATCATCATATTTAGTCATTAAGGAACCAGAATATCCTAAAATAGGGACTGGGAAGCCTAATCTCCCAGGGCAGATTAAGGTTGTGCCACTTTTTATAAATAAAGTTTTACTGGAATACGGTCAAGACCACTCATTTACAAATTGCCTATTGCCGCCTTTGCACTATAATGACAGAGTGGAGTCATTGCAACAGACAGTGGATATAGCCAACAAAACCTGGAATTTTTACTACAAACTTCTGCCCGAAAAATACCCAAAAATAACTGCAAGATAATTTCATTTTCCTTTGATAACCAAAAAGAAACATGATTTCACAAAGCCCAGTATCATGAGAAAGATCAATGCTGGAGCAAATGAGACTCCCAACATGAAAGCAGAGGCACGTATCTGCAAAAATCCCACATGCAAAGGGGGACTTGCATCTACTACACATTTCATCACTAACATTTTACAAAATTTGCAATATGGAAGCATCATGCTGATTAAAAAGAATCCAATTCCTTCATCCTATTCCCACTAGGATGGCTACTAACAAAATAAAACAAAACTAAAAAACTAAGATAACAAGTGTTAGCAAATATGTGAAAAGACTGGAATACTTGTTCACTGTTAGTGTGAATATAAAAAGGTGCGGCCCCAGAAAACAGCACGGTGATTTCTCAAAAAATTCAACATAGAATTACCATATGATAAAGCAAGTCCAGTTCTCAGTATGTACTCAAAGGTAACGGAAACAGGGACAGAGATTATCTGTGCACCCAAGGACACAGCAGAATTTTTCACAACAGACAAAGGGTGGAATCAACCCAAGTAGCCACAACAAATGAATGGATAAACAAAATGTCATCTATCCATATAATGGAGTATTATTCAGCCTTAAAAAGGAAGAAAATTCTGATACATGCTACAACATGCATGGATCATTAAACTAAGTGAAATAAGCCAGTCACAAGGGGACAGATATTGTACCACTTATAGGAGGTACTTAAGAGGGATCAAATTCATAGAGGCAGAAAGTGGAATGGTGGTTTTCAGTGGGTGGGAAGGAGGGGAGAATGGAAAGTTATGTTTTACTGGGTATACAGTTTCAGTTTTGCAAGATAAAAAGTTCTGTGGACAGATGGTGGTAATGACTGCACAACAATGTGAATGTACTTCTAGCCAAGGAACTGTACACTTAAAAATGGTTAAGATGGTAAATTTCATGTTACATGTATTTTGTCATAATTTTAAAAAAAAAGGAAAGCAAATCTGCCACCCAATACATAAAAAGGCCTCACAAAACTGCACATACAGCCAATCATTATGCCTTTACCTATTGCCACTGCATAGTAAGTATCACTTGTATTTGACTATTACTTGCCCATAATGGAAACCAGTTGGAAAATGAACAGGCTGATGTTTTCATAAGCAGAAGAGTCAAGCCACCTTCCTCACTGGACCACAAATAATAGATAATTAGGCATCAGCCTGAATCTACAGTTGTGGGAGTTTCCTCATGGCAACTACCAATGCAGCAAATGCTCATGAACATCTTAGATACAAGGAAAAATGGAATTCTTACCAAGTGTTCGAGGCCATAGTCAGCTTGGGCAATATTAGTGCTGCTGAAAGTATTTGTTTCAATGATATCTGCCCCAGCCAGCAAGTAATCCTGTAACAAAAGATACTAATGTCAATGCTACAAGTTTTAGAATCCCTGTCCCCCAAAGTAAACATGTCTTTTCATCATAATCACCACCACCAGACACCTTTTGATCAGTTTCAAGTTATAAGGCACTGCATCAGAGGCTAGCAATTCAGAAAGATGCAAGGATTTCACAGAAATGTGGTGTCAAATAAACAGACACAGAATCTGAATTCAGACAAAGTTCACATGCTCAATTGTATAAACTGAATCATGTTCCTGATGAGTTTCAGTTTCCTCATTTGAAAGTATAACCCTACTTACCAGGCTACATGACGACACAAATAATATATCAAGTGTCTGGCAAAGGATGCACTCTCCCTGCTTCAGCACCATCTGACCCGCCTCCTCCAGCACCCCACCACCTTGGGGATCTCCATTCTGACTGAGTTGTTCCAGTCCCTATCTCCTAGTCCCTCTGAGCCATATCCACACTCTTACTAGAACCTTGAGCACCTTGCTACCCTCCTGTTCTCCCTGTTTGAAACCTTTCTTCCTCATTTCATTCTTTAGACACCATCTCAACCTCAATCTGATGAACATTCTGGAATCTCCCAAGTCCCTTGGTTTTCCAATAGTGAGTAAACCCAACCCCTCCTAAGCTGATAAACACTGTTTGCAGAAGAACTGGGAAATGAAAATCAAGATTTACACAACATGGACAGATCTCTAAAAGTATTGAGTAGAAAAACTAAACTGATTACTATGTAAAGTATAACACCATTAAGTTTAAAGCATATATATAAATACAAACAGTACTACAGTTTTCTATAGATATACATGTATAATATAAGTGGTTATCTCTGGGATAGAAATTTGGAGTAGTGGTCAAAAGGGAATTTATTCTTATCTTTGAGTTTTATTTTGTAAGAATTAATTTTTTCAAAATAGAGCAAGAAAAACTGAAAACAACCTGAATGTCTAGGAATAAGATTAGCTAAGTAACTAATGAAAATACTCATGGAATAGATTATTAATTATTAAAACGATGTTTCAGAATATTTGATGCTCATGCTATCCAGGTAAAAAAATGCAAATCATAAAACAATATGAAGTGGTTTTTATTTTCTATTATACTTTTCTATATTATCTAACTAGACTTTTTTATTTTTATGAACACATACTATCTTTATAATTAGAGAGAAAATATTTCTAAATGCCCAGTTATTTTCTCCAATTTTGTATAGATTTGAAAATTTCTATCATACAAGATTTAAAAGCTATTTTTTATGGTTCTTCATCCTCTCTCTCCACCTTCTTTCCTGGCTCAATATCACACTCATGGGCTCTGGATATGATGACCCTCAAATTCCACATCTGTTCTCATCATTTTTAAAAATGTGTCATCTGAAGAAAGCTACTTAACTTCTTTGCACCTCAGTTCTCTTCTGGAGAAAGCTATCAAGAATTAAAGGAGGACATTAAAGACAGCATTTCTAGAGGCTAACAAATGTTTTTAATATTGTTTGGTATAGGTCACTGCCTATCGATAGTGATGCTATGGGACAGGAATGCCTCAGGCACTCACCCATACAACAAAGCATTTTCCCAGTGGAGACAATGTTGTGGCTAGACTGGCCCTCAGTAAACAAAACAGCTTATAGAAGGACAGAATGAAAATAAAAGGAGCTGGGGACACTTTACCTTATGGATTTGGTAAATGATATCAGGTTGAGTTATACTTAAGATGTCATTGTTGCCTTTTAGGGGCCTGGCATGACCTTTAAATTCTTGACCTCGGAAGTCTTCTTCAGTTAGCTTATGCCGCTGGATCATAGTCCCCATCCCTCCATCCAGCACCATAATCCTCTCCCGCAGAATGGCTTCGATCTCATCCTGAAGGGTTTTCTTCATACCTGCTTTAATGAAAGTGAAAATCTGACTTTAAAAAATGAAATGGGAAAAAGGTGTGTGAGGAGGGAGCTTAGAGTAATTTAAAACAATTCCTAATGGGAAGTAAATGTACTCATAAAAGATGCACTCATAACTCTAAAGAATTAGAAAAATGCTGCCTCAACATTTTTTCACTAAGTTGTGACAGTGCTTGATGCAATAAGAGACTGTACACAGCACAATCACTGGTGAAGGACCGAGACAAGGTTACGGGTAGGCTACAGCCCTTCCTGTCTCCGAGATGAAGGCAACAGGCATCAGTGAGCCAAGTGATACAAGGCCAGGCCAGGCCAGGCCGCGGAGGACGGTCTCCAGGGCTCTGTTAATTCAGTGTGCATGCTCTTAGTAGAGAGATTCAGCAAGATAATTGAAAACCATCAATAATTCCAAACTTCCATTTAAATTGTTACCTTTGACAGCATCCCCAACCCACTGCCAGAACTAACAGCCTACACACAGAGTCTCACTTACCTCTGCTCCATCTCTGACATAACTGGCTAAGCCCCTGCTACTTCTCAACTCTCCCCACATCCTTGACGTCTTCTAAATCCCAGCCCTGAAAACCCCCAGTGCCTACTCCTTCTATCCCTATATTCTGGTTTCCAAGAACTACTGGAAAGCCACCACTCGCTGACTGGATCACTGGACATTTCCAATGTTGAGCCTCTCCCTTGGGTCACCTTTTCTTGGCTATCTGCAACACTCACATGTCTGCTGTCCCAAACCTCTGCTTTCTTTTGGCACCAAAGCTTCTCACCTTTTTACTGTACAGTTGATTTTACCTCAACCTGTACAAAGTGCTCCACTGGGAGAGCCTCTGATTCACTCCTCTCCGCCTTAAAATCCTCCCATGGCTTGGCTCACTCTCATCTCCTTCCCTCAGCGCCCAAGGAAGGCACATGGTCCCCCCACACAAACACCTCCCGCTGACCACCCCACCGCCCTCCCCCTCCAGTAGTTACACCCCACCCCCCGCCCCAGTCCTTAGCTTCTTGATGTGGCTTCCTTCTCCACTGCGCTACTGAAATCATTTTCTAAAACCATCAAACACCTTCTAATCATCAATGCTTGGCTCCCATCTCAGATCCAGATTTCAAACTGCCCCTCAATCTAAGATTCCAAACCAAACTTGCCTCATTCCCTGTCTGATCTCCCTATTTCTGTGAATGGCATCACCCTTCCCAGAAAGCTGACCTGAAAACCTCAGTATTATCTAACTCATTGTTCTCCCTGTAACCAACATTAATTCAGATCTCAAGCCCTATAGATTTGGCCTCCAGAATGCCTTTCACACTAATCCCACCCTCCATCCATAGTGCCAACCCTTCCCTTCAAGTCTCACTACACATCCTCACCATCACAAATCCTCTCTGAGCCTCAGTTTGCATCCATGAAAACAAAGATGGTAACACCTGCTCTACCCACTGCACATAGTTGTCTTACAGGCTAAATGAGATGACAGATGTGAAGATGCTTTATAAATAATCAAAGCAGGACCTCCGTGTCTACAAAAGAGATCACCAGCTCACCACTGTACCTGGTAAATCATGTTCTAGTCCATCCTATGCACCACAACCACATTAATCTCCATAAAAAACAATTCTAAATCAGGTACTTCCCCTACTCAAACATCTTCAATAGCTCCCTACTGCCTACCAAAGTTACAAGTTACTCAAAACAAATCACAGTGATATCAAACTGTTTTGTCAATATTTCCTTCTGTGCTCTCTGAAAAAGGAGCAAAGCTTGAGGCAAACAGAGCTGGCTCTAAGCTCTCTGAGCTCCTTGAAGGATATGACTGTCTAGATCCAAATCATCTTTATCCCTAGCAACACCAAGGATGGTACCTGGCACCTAATGTTGAATACATATTTCCTTAACTGAGATGGCAAAAAAGTAGGGGTTACTGAAAATCCAAACCAGTAATGTATGACTACTTGTAAGCTGACATTGGTTGCCAATGTACAACCCTGCCCTGTCCTACTATCCAGAGTCTCAAACACACAATATGGAAAGAGGGGCTGAATGGTGGCTACAGAGATATTTTACCAGAATCACACCAAAGGGGCTTCAGGAAAGCTGCTCCAGTGACCTGCAAGGCAAATTCGTCAACATCTGGTTTCTTTCCCAAAGAGCATGACATTTGTTTCATGGTGTACCGTTCCTTTCCAAAGCCAACTCATTGTTTTTTGAGCTTGTGGGTGAGAGAAAACACTCCCTGAAAAAGGAACAAAGTGAAAGTCCAATAATCTGATCGTTAATACTGCAAGTACCAAAGGAAAAAAGATCACTTCTTGGGCAATGTGAAGAAGGGCAGGGCTTAATGAGACATGTAAAAATAGAAAGACTGGTAGGCATCAGGCAGTGGTCCAGTCATTTCAAGCTGAAGTCACCACAACAAAATCAGGTAAAGGCATTAATTAGGATACCCATGATGTAACTGTCTTATCAGCTAATAAGCACTGAGAGTTTGATGATTAAGCTACTGTTAAAAGGATGAGAAAAAACAAGAAATCTAGGTTTTAGTCCCACCTCCCACAAGTAAGTATGGGGTTTTGAACAAGACTTTGTGTGTTGCAAAATGAGGAAATAATCAGCCTTGCCTTTGTCACAGGAACTGTGATAATAAAATGACATGATGTGGTTGAAGGGATATTTCAGATGTTAAGAGCTGGACCTCTCAGATCATGCAAGTCATAAAATGAGACATGCTTAACTACTCCTCTTATGTCATCACTGCCACATAGCTAAGAAGTGGAGCTAAGATGGAAGCTCTAAAGACTGTGTTCTACACATATACTGCAAAGTCCAGTGGGCCATGCAAAACATCATGTAAGCCTAAAGCTCTCAGCCCTGTTCATAATGGGGAAGGTGGCAGGAATGTTAGCTTTGTAAATGAACATCAGTCTGGCAGAAAGAAGACAATAACTCAGTGAAACAATTAAATGGAGTTCCAAATGGGGAATGAGTGGAGAAAAATTTTAAACTTTAACCTATATGCACGACTGAATTCCTTTCTTCTTACACAGATATTGCTGCAATTCCATTCTGAAATGAGATCATGTGAGCTTAACAGTAATTAAATCACCAGACTGGTGGAAGCGCAGTATAGATCATGCATTTGCAATTTAATTTTTAAAAGTATTCAAACCCTCTGGGGAGAAAAATGCACTTTTCCACGATAAAATAGGTTTTTTGGAATCAGCAGAATAGCCAATCATATTATTTATGTCTCTCTCGACCTATCTCCTCCACTGAGCAGGTGTACACATTTTCAATGGAGACAGGAAGAAGAAAGAAGAAATTAACTAACAACATAAGAAATGCCCTTATCTTCTCCCATGTGATTCATTTGATCAGTGTTGCTTTGGCATCTCTCTGCAAATCTGACAGTAGAATGTGCCTCTACTCCTACTCCCATTTCCATAAAAAAAATCTAAGCATTCTTCCATGGGGCCCCTACTACATCCACTTTTCAATGCAGAAATGTAAACTGTTTTCAGTCTTTAAGACAGTTTATTATTTACCATAAAACAACCCTGCCCCCAAACATACAAATTCTTATCTGCAAAAATCCCACATGCAAAGGGGGACTTGCATCTACTACACATTTCATCACTAACATTTTACAAAATTTGCAATATGGAAGCATCATGCTGATTAAAAAGAATCCAATTCCTTCATCCTATTCCCACTAGGATGGCTACTAACAAAATAAAACAAAACTAAAAAACTAAGATAACAAGTGTTAGCAAATATGTGAAAAGACTGGAATACTTGTTCACTGTTAGTGTGAATATAAAAAGGTGCGGCCCCAGAAAACAGCACGGTGATTTCTCAAAAAATTCAACATAGAATTACCATATGATAAAGCAAGTCCAGTTCTCAGTATGTACTCAAAGGTAACGGAAACAGGGACAGAGATTATCTGTGCACCCAAGGACACAGCAGAATTTTTCACAACAGACAAAGGGTGGAATCAACCCAAGTAGCCACAACAAATGAATGGATAAACAAAATGTCATCTATCCATATAATGGAGTATTATTCAGCCTTAAAAAGGAAGAAAATTCTGATACATGCTACAACATGCATGGATCATTAAACTAAGTGAAATAAGCCAGTCACAAGGGGACAGATATTGTACCACTTATAGGAGGTACTTAAGAGGGATCAAATTCATAGAGGCAGAAAGTGGAATGGTGGTTTTCAGTGGGTGGGAAGGAGGGGAGAATGGAAAGTTATGTTTTACTGGGTATACAGTTTCAGTTTTGCAAGATAAAAAGTTCTGTGGACAGATGGTGGTAATGACTGCACAACAATGTGAATGTACTTCTAGCCAAGGAACTGTACACTTAAAAATGGTTAAGATGGTAAATTTCATGTTACATGTATTTTGTCATAATTTTAAAAAAAAAGGAAAGCAAATCTGCCACCCAATACATAAAAAGGCCTCACAAAACTGCACATACAGCCAATCATTATGCCTTTACCTATTGCCACTGCATAGTAAGTATCACTTGTATTTGACTATTACTTGCCCATAATGGAAACCAGTTGGAAAATGAACAGGCTGATGTTTTCATAAGCAGAAGAGTCAAGCCACCTTCCTCACTGGACCACAAATAATAGATAATTAGGCATCAGCCTGAATCTACAGTTGTGGGAGTTTCCTCATGGCAACTACCAATGCAGCAAATGCTCATGAACATCTTAGATACAAGGAAAAATGGAATTCTTACCAAGTGTTCGAGGCCATAGTCAGCTTGGGCAATATTAGTGCTGCTGAAAGTATTTGTTTCAATGATATCTGCCCCAGCCAGCAAGTAATCCTGTAACAAAAGATACTAATGTCAATGCTACAAGTTTTAGAATCCCTGTCCCCCAAAGTAAACATGTCTTTTCATCATAATCACCACCACCAGACACCTTTTGATCAGTTTCAAGTTATAAGGCACTGCATCAGAGGCTAGCAATTCAGAAAGATGCAAGGATTTCACAGAAATGTGGTGTCAAATAAACAGACACAGAATCTGAATTCAGACAAAGTTCACATGCTCAATTGTATAAACTGAATCATGTTCCTGATGAGTTTCAGTTTCCTCATTTGAAAGTATAACCCTACTTACCAGGCTACATGACGACACAAATAATATATCAAGTGTCTGGCAAAGGATGCACTCTCCCTGCTTCAGCACCATCTGACCCGCCTCCTCCAGCACCCCACCACCTTGGGGATCTCCATTCTGACTGAGTTGTTCCAGTCCCTATCTCCTAGTCCCTCTGAGCCATATCCACACTCTTACTAGAACCTTGAGCACCTTGCTACCCTCCTGTTCTCCCTGTTTGAAACCTTTCTTCCTCATTTCATTCTTTAGACACCATCTCAACCTCAATCTGATGAACATTCTGGAATCTCCCAAGTCCCTTGGTTTTCCAATAGTGAGTAAACCCAACCCCTCCTAAGCTGATAAACACTGTTTGCAGAAGAACTGGGAAATGAAAATCAAGATTTACACAACATGGACAGATCTCTAAAAGTATTGAGTAGAAAAACTAAACTGATTACTATGTAAAGTATAACACCATTAAGTTTAAAGCATATATATAAATACAAACAGTACTACAGTTTTCTATAGATATACATGTATAATATAAGTGGTTATCTCTGGGATAGAAATTTGGAGTAGTGGTCAAAAGGGAATTTATTCTTATCTTTGAGTTTTATTTTGTAAGAATTAATTTTTTCAAAATAGAGCAAGAAAAACTGAAAACAACCTGAATGTCTAGGAATAAGATTAGCTAAGTAACTAATGAAAATACTCATGGAATAGATTATTAATTATTAAAACGATGTTTCAGAATATTTGATGCTCATGCTATCCAGGTAAAAAAATGCAAATCATAAAACAATATGAAGTGGTTTTTATTTTCTATTATACTTTTCTATATTATCTAACTAGACTTTTTTATTTTTATGAACACATACTATCTTTATAATTAGAGAGAAAATATTTCTAAATGCCCAGTTATTTTCTCCAATTTTGTATAGATTTGAAAATTTCTATCATACAAGATTTAAAAGCTATTTTTTTATGGTTCTTCATCCTCTCTCTCCACCTTCTTTCCTGGCTCAATATCACACTCATGGGCTCTGGATATGATGTCCCTCAAATTCCACATCTGTTCTCATCATTTTTAAAAATGTGTCATCTGAAGAAAGCTACTTAACTTCTTTGCACCTCAGTTCTCTTCTGGAGAAAGCTATCAAGAATTAAAGGAGGACATTAAAGACAGCATTTCTAGAGGCTAACAAATGTTTTTAATATTGTTTGGTATAGGTCACTGCCTATCGATAGTGATGCTATGGGACAGGAATGCCTCAGGCACTCACCCATACAACAAAGCATTTTCCCAGTGGAGACAATGTTGTGGCTAGACTGGCCCTCAGTAAACAAAACAGCTTATAGAAGGACAGAATGAAAATAAAAGGAGCTGGGGACACTTTACCTTATGGATTTGGTAAATGATATCAGGTTGAGTTATACTTAAGATGTCATTGTTGCCTTTTAGGGGCCTGGCATGACCTTTAAATTCTTGACCTCGGAAGTCTTCTTCAGTTAGCTTATGCCGCTGGATCATAGTCCCCATCCCTCCATCCAGCACCATAATCCTCTCCCGCAGAATGGCTTCGATCTCATCCTGAAGGGTTTTCTTCATACCTGCTTTAATGAAAGTGAAAATCTGACTTTAAAAAATGAAATGGGAAAAAGGTGTGTGAGGAGGGAGCTTAGAGTAATTTAAAACAATTCCTAATGGGAAGTAAATGTACTCATAAAAGATGCACTCATAACTCTAAAGAATTAGAAAAATGCTGCCTCAACATTTTTTCACTAAGTTGTGACAGTGCTTGATGCAATAAGAGACTGTACACAGCACAATCACTGGTGAAGGACCGAGACAAGGTTACGGGTAGGCTACAGCCCTTCCTGTCTCCGAGATGAAGGCAACAGGCATCAGTGAGCCAAGTGATACAAGGCCAGGCCAGGCCAGGCCGCGGAGGACGGTCTCCAGGGCTCTGTTAATTCAGTGTGCATGCTCTTAGTAGAGAGATTCAGCAAGATAATTGAAAACCATCAATAATTCCAAACTTCCATTTAAATTGTTACCTTTGACAGCATCCCCAACCCACTGCCAGAACTAACAGCCTACACACAGAGTCTCACTTACCTCTGCTCCATCTCTGACATAACTGGCTAAGCCCCTGCTACTTCTCAACTCTCCCCACATCCTTGACGTCTTCTAAATCCCAGCCCTGAAAACCCCCAGTGCCTACTCCTTCTATCCCTATATTCTGGTTTCCAAGAACTACTGGAAAGCCACCACTCGCTGACTGGATCACTGGACATTTCCAATGTTGAGCCTCTCCCTTGGGTCACCTTTTCTTGGCTATCTGCAACACTCACATGTCTGCTGTCCCAAACCTCTGCTTTCTTTTGGCACCAAAGCTTCTCACCTTTTTACTGTACAGTTGATTTTACCTCAACCTGTACAAAGTGCTCCACTGGGAGAGCCTCTGATTCACTCCTCTCCGCCTTAAAATCCTCCCATGGCTTGGCTCACTCTCATCTCCTTCCCTCAGCGCCCAAGGAAGGCACATGGTCCCCCCACACAAACACCTCCCGCTGACCACCCCACCGCCCTCCCCCTCCAGTAGTTACACCCCACCCCCCGCCCCAGTCCTTAGCTTCTTGATGTGGCTTCCTTCTCCACTGCGCTACTGAAATCATTTTCTAAAACCATCAAACACCTTCTAATCATCAATGCTTGGCTCCCATCTCAGATCCAGATTTCAAACTGCCCCTCAATCTAAGATTCCAAACCAAACTTGCCTCATTCCCTGTCTGATCTCCCTATTTCTGTGAATGGCATCACCCTTCCCAGAAAGCTGACCTGAAAACCTCAGTATTATCTAACTCATTGTTCTCCCTGTAACCAACATTAATTCAGATCTCAAGCCCTATAGATTTGGCCTCCAGAATGCCTTTCACACTAATCCCACCCTCCATCCATAGTGCCAACCCTTCCCTTCAAGTCTCACTACACATCCTCACCATCACAAATCCTCTCTGAGCCTCAGTTTGCATCCATGAAAACAAAGATGGTAACACCTGCTCTACCCACTGCACATAGTTGTCTTACAGGCTAAATGAGATGACAGATGTGAAGATGCTTTATAAATAATCAAAGCAGGACCTCCGTGTCTACAAAAGAGATCACCAGCTCACCACTGTACCTGGTAAATCATGTTCTAGTCCATCCTATGCACCACAACCACATTAATCTCCATAAAAAACAATTCTAAATCAGGTACTTCCCCTACTCAAACATCTTCAATAGCTCCCTACTGCCTACCAAAGTTACAAGTTACTCAAAACAAATCACAGTGATATCAAACTGTTTTGTCAATATTTCCTTCTGTGCTCTCTGAAAAAGGAGCAAAGCTTGAGGCAAACAGAGCTGGCTCTAAGCTCTCTGAGCTCCTTGAAGGATATGACTGTCTAGATCCAAATCATCTTTATCCCTAGCAACACCAAGGATGGTACCTGGCACCTAATGTTGAATACATATTTCCTTAACTGAGATGGCAAAAAAGTAGGGGTTACTGAAAATCCAAACCAGTAATGTATGACTACTTGTAAGCTGACATTGGTTGCCAATGTACAACCCTGCCCTGTCCTACTATCCAGAGTCTCAAACACACAATATGGAAAGAGGGGCTGAATGGTGGCTACAGAGATATTTTACCAGAATCACACCAAAGGGGCTTCAGGAAAGCTGCTCCAGTGACCTGCAAGGCAAATTCGTCAACATCTGGTTTCTTTCCCAAAGAGCATGACATTTGTTTCATGGTGTACCGTTCCTTTCCAAAGCCAACTCATTGTTTTTTGAGCTTGTGGGTGAGAGAAAACACTCCCTGAAAAAGGAACAAAGTGAAAGTCCAATAATCTGATCGTTAATACTGCAAGTACCAAAGGAAAAAAGATCACTTCTTGGGCAATGTGAAGAAGGGCAGGGCTTAATGAGACATGTAAAAATAGAAAGACTGGTAGGCATCAGGCAGTGGTCCAGTCATTTCAAGCTGAAGTCACCACAACAAAATCAGGTAAAGGCATTAATTAGGATACCCATGATGTAACTGTCTTATCAGCTAATAAGCACTGAGAGTTTGATGATTAAGCTACTGTTAAAAGGATGAGAAAAAACAAGAAATCTAGGTTTTAGTCCCACCTCCCACAAGTAAGTATGGGGTTTTGAACAAGACTTTGTGTGTTGCAAAATGAGGAAATAATCAGCCTTGCCTTTGTCACAGGAACTGTGATAATAAAATGACATGATGTGGTTGAAGGGATATTTCAGATGTTAAGAGCTGGACCTCTCAGATCATGCAAGTCATAAAATGAGACATGCTTAACTACTCCTCTTATGTCATCACTGCCACATAGCTAAGAAGTGGAGCTAAGATGGAAGCTCTAAAGACTGTGTTCTACACATATACTGCAAAGTCCAGTGGGCCATGCAAAACATCATGTAAGCCTAAAGCTCTCAGCCCTGTTCATAATGGGGAAGGTGGCAGGAATGTTAGCTTTGTAAATGAACATCAGTCTGGCAGAAAGAAGACAATAACTCAGTGAAACAATTAAATGGAGTTCCAAATGGGGAATGAGTGGAGAAAAATTTTAAACTTTAACCTATATGCACGACTGAATTCCTTTCTTCTTACACAGATATTGCTGCAATTCCATTCTGAAATGAGATCATGTGAGCTTAACAGTAATTAAATCACCAGACTGGTGGAAGCGCAGTATAGATCATGCATTTGCAATTTAATTTTTAAAAGTATTCAAACCCTCTGGGGAGAAAAATGCACTTTTCCACGATAAAATAGGTTTTTTGGAATCAGCAGAATAGCCAATCATATTATTTATGTCTCTCTCGACCTATCTCCTCCACTGAGCAGGTGTACACATTTTCAATGGAGACAGGAAGAAGAAAGAAGAAATTAACTAACAACATAAGAAATGCCCTTATCTTCTCCCATGTGATTCATTTGATCAGTGTTGCTTTGGCATCTCTCTGCAAATCTGACAGTAGAATGTGCCTCTACTCCTACTCCCATTTCCATAAAAAAAATCTAAGCATTCTTCCATGGGGCCCCTACTACATCCACTTTTCAATGCAGAAATGTAAACTGTTTTCAGTCTTTAAGACAGTTTATTATTTACCATAAAACAACCCTGCCCCCAAACATACAAATTCTGAGATCTTGTTAAGTGCTCATCATATATGCAAGAGATCAGTTTTTTAAATTGTAAACATCTTATTGTTTTAGGAGAAAGTTGACAAACTTATTCTATAATTTATGTAGACGGACAAAAGTCCAGAAAGAGCTAAATTAACTTTGAAAAAGTAGAAAGAGTTTATTTGGCCCATCAAATAGAATATACCACAAAACTTGATCATAAAATAAGTAAAGTGATAGAATATTTTTACTACTTAGAATAGGGAAAGACTTCATAAGACTCAAAAAGCCCAATCTATAATGTTAAAAAAATAATAAATGAATTTGACTACATAAAACTAAGGATTAGACAAAAGTAATAAACAGTATGGATTGGAGGAAGATTTTGCAATGTCTACAAGTGAAAGGGACTAAAATCTATAACGGACAAGGAACTCATACAAATCAATATGAAATCAAATAGAACATGGGCAAAAGATATGAATAGGCACATCTAGGATGGGGAAAACAATAACCAAGTATATGAAGAGAAGCTCAACATTTTCTATCAGACAAGAATTAAGACAATATCAATTTACATCCCATATGTGGGTGATAATTAGAAGATTGGATAATACCAAAGAAAATCTGAAAGAAAATAATACCAAGCTTGTTGGAACATAGATACAGCCATTCTGTAGGGCAGCCTAATAGGACTCAGTAAAATCAAGCACATGGAAAACTGAGCAATCTCACTCCTACACATATTTCCCAAAATCTCACACAGATCCATAGAGAACATAGGAGTGGCAAGTTGGAGACAACCTTGGGAAATGGCAAAGTAAAATGTAGAGGGTGTTCATATGGAATACATACGTGGTAACCAGATATAACACTATACTGCTGTTTGTAAGGACAGTATATTGAGTGAAAAAGTTAGAAATGGTTAGCTACCAAGATACTATTTACATAAATTAAAAATACAAGCATACACAGACTAGAGTACAAGGAAACATACAAACACATGGAAATAAGCTGATGAGAGCTGGAAACTTGTGAACAGAAAAGAAGTGGGAACACATCAGAAATAAATATGAAAGAATAGCATGGATTGAAAACAAAACTCCTCTGCAACTGAGGCCATTAAAAATCCATTGCTTCTACATTATCCATATGCTTATTTTTAATTTAGGGGATAACACAGATTTCCCTTTGAGAGAAAAAAAAGGTCTTCCCAGATTTGTTGATCTAAGTGTACTGGTCTCATCCTATGTATTTCCCCAGTTTTTCCAGTAGGGGTTATCCTTCACTGCCGCTCCAGAACCTTCTCATAATAAGTCGACTACCTTAACAATTCTTTCCCTTGGCAGGGTGGGCATTCATTTAAATGTTTGTCTTCCGTGAAGAACAACCTTCATATTTATCTGTATTCAGTTCATTGGGTCTAGAACATGTACATTTTACTCCAGACTAGTCAAGTTCTAAAGTTCTTACAGAGCAGTTCTAAATAGAGCAGATTCTCCCTAACATCTTTCACTAGAAATATATAGTTTTGCAGTTCCCCCACTTAGCTGAGGTATTTTGTTGTTAATTGAGAAAAAGGGAAGGGGGGGGGGCTATAAGTCACGTGTACCCTGAGGACTAGGTTTTATTTTCTAGCAACATGGATAAAATGTTTCTCAGTCACAGTTCCAAGGGTTTCCAGAACAATTCCACCAGTCCACTTATCAGAACCCTAGAAACAATAGTCACTAGCTCACCTCTGACAAATTTCTTTCTGAGTTTATTAATTTAGTATTCATCCTCCTTCTGGAGCTGCAAAATCTTCAGTCTTAGCGTAACTACTGTTTTGTCCTTACTACTGATTTTCTTGTTTCTCCATTTCCTACCTAATACCTCACGTGTTTATGGGTGTATTGGTGCACAAATTATAACGAGGAATAACTTGAGACCCAGAGCTCATTACAAGGCTGAAATTATATTCAGTTCTCACGCGTTTTTCCTCTGTTAATCCCAGAGCTACCAAACACCCGAACCACCTTGAGATTACTGCTTTCCATCCCGACCCACTGAGTGTATGTTTGCCTACCTTTCCATCGTGTTTCAATGCACATTGAAGTTTGCACTGCTCAAACCCTGAAGTGGAAAATAAAAGTGCAGTGCAGTTTTATTTTAACTAGGTCTCTGGATTTCCTTGTCTGTCTCAACTCCTTAACGTTATTTGGATGAGCACAGCAGGTGCTCAATACTTACTGAATAAGAACGTTAAATCAATGCAAAACCTCGGTGGAGCCCTGCTGGAATATGCTCCATCAAAATGTACAGTTCAGTTACTCTGACGTTAAGAGTGTGGGGAAGGCACGGGTGCGGTGAGTATTCTGACCTCTCGTTTGCAAGGGAAAGGGTGTAGGTTGGGCAAGGAACCGAGCGGACCGCGTGGGACCTCAGGGCTCCCGGCAAGTTCAAAAGTGCTGCCAGCCAGCGGGGAGGCACGACCAGGCGTCCCCATATCCTGCGTAGAATCACCCCAGGTGATGGGACGCCACAGCGCGAGTCAATAAACAACCCCACGGCGGGCGCCTGGTAGCAGCGTTACCGGATGGCGTCAGCTCCCGGAGCGCGGGCGACATGCCGCAGAGGGTCCTCCTCAGGTCAGGAACGAAGCGGGGAAGACGCGCTCTGCGTAGGTGACGCCCCAGGGCAATGACAGGCAGCGCCAGGCGAGCCTGCCTCGGAGGCCCAGGTCACGGGGGCCCCTGAGGGCTCCAGGAGCGCGCCCCGCGCGGCGCAGCACCAGGGCTGGGCGCCGCGTGGTGACGGCCGGCGGGCCCTCGGCCACTACAGCTGCCCACGCGGGTGCTTTCTCCCCGGGCACCCGGCCCGTCCTCAGCACGGCCCCAGGCCGGGTTGGCCGCCGCACACCATAGTGGAGGGCAACACGGTCCCTCTCCCGCCGCGCCTGCACAGCGAGAACATGGTTTCTGCGCTCAATCAGGCCTCTGCGCGCGACGGCCCGCCCCCTCAAGCCTGCGATTGGTCTGTATGAGCCCCTCGCGGGCTTATTGGCTGATCGATCTCAGCCAATCACCTGAGGGTTACCTCCCGGCTCTCTGGAGAGATAGTTGGGATTCCCCTGCTCCCGTGGAGGCTTTGTGTGTCTTTGCAGGTGGCGCGGAAAGGGACGCGGTCCCAGGCCCTCTCCAAGTTTAAGTGGAGAAGCGAAGTGGGCGCTGGTCCCAACAGATTGTCTCGCACCAAGGCCCGGAAATTGAAGTCGGAAGACCCGGTACTGGTCACGTTTCGCTGCTGCTGGCGCTGGGCAAGAAATTTAACCTCTTAGTGTCCTCTCTGCAGTCTAAAACAGGAAGTGGAAGGGTGGCAGTAATCTCTACCTTATAAGGTTGTGGTAGGCATTAATGAAGTCGAGTGACCGCGCTGTGAAAACTCTGAAGTACATGTATGCCTGCTGATTGCCAACTACTGACAGTAATATTTTTGGGGAGCACCTAGTAACGTTTTATGTTTCAGCCTACACGCTTGGAATGCGCCACCTCTTTCCTTTGAGGAAGAACTCACAGCCTAGTTGTAGATAAAGTGAAGGTTCCTGTGGCCAGGATTCTCACCTGGCCCTGGTCGGCTAGCTCACTACACACGTGTGGGCAATAAGTTGTTATTTACTATGTGAAGAACTCCGCCCAGTGCGACAGGCACAGCTGTAAGGCTGAAGGAGAGTAGAAAACAAGACTGGAGTGGTGGCAGCACTGAGGACAGAGACTGAGATGGCTGTGGGAAGGTAGAGAGGCCCAGAGGCAGAGACCGGCTTGCTGCATACAGACTCACTCTGAGTGGACCGGATTCTAGTGACAGACCTGACACCGTGAAAATTAAGTTGGGTTTAAACGCTTTCACCCCAAGAATGTTCTATTGTCATTTCTTTGGTCACATTGAATCCATAGTGAACTTATCCAGGGCTGAAACCCATTGGCAAGACACTAGGTAAGACTAATAACTGAATAGGAAAGAAGAGAACCGCATGCAGTATACAGAAAGCTGCGGTACTCTAACCGTGCAGGGGGAAAGCTTTGAGGAAGCAGCTGGGTCTTGAAATAAGAGTGTGTGCGAGGTGAGGCCACTCCAACTGAGAGAAACTTCTTGGGTAGACCACCACACCTGAGGATTTGAAAATAAAGGAGAGCTCTGTAAGGCTGAGCATAGCAGGTGGGAAGAAAAGCAAATGAATCTAGAAAAATGAATTGAGACCAAATTGTAAAGTTTACTAAGCTGTAAAAAAAAAAAGCATAAACTTGCACGCTATTTTTATTTTAGTGTATGTATAAAAAATCATCATAACCTCAAGGGAGGAACAACCTAAGACCGGCACAGTTGCAGGGGGGCCATCAGGTGAGAAATTGGGGATCAACAGAGGTGAGGCTTAGAACCTCACCCCCCGTTTTGAGAGAAATCTTCTGCATCCCTGGATGTTTTGTTGCCCTTGTCTAGCTTGGATTAATACTTAGTCTATAGGCACAGACCTGATCATCTACATTTGCTCTCTTACAGCACTAAATTATGTTTTCTACCTTTATCTTGCATCTACCTACCACTTCAGCATTTTATTTAAAAAATAATAATAATAGTAAGGGAGAAATG